ACTACTTCTTGGAGTCGAACATTTTAGTTTACGTTAATATAAGCTGTAGTGTTTCCCATAATGTTCCTGTGAGAGAACAGAGGTGCTCAGTATCTTCCTTATATACCCTGTGATCCACAAAGGCAATGAAACACTTGAGGTCTCTACTTTCCTGGATAAGACACTACCTCAGCAAAATCAGAGCTCTGAGTTTTCAATTCATTACGTGATTATAAACAAGAAAGGAGAGAAAAGTTGAAATGAGTACCTCTTTCCAGAATATGTTTGACAGGTGACAAATTATGAGTTTAATTGAGAGCCTAGAAATTTGGGGAGTCATAAGACAATAAAAATGTACATTTTTTTAGTATGGATGTGTATTTTAGATTTGTTTCACTAATTCAGTCATTCATCTATTTTATTCAGGGGTGCAATAGATGGGAATGCTTGTATAATTTGGACAATCTATTGCTTGCAAATATAAAACATAAGAAACATAGAGGCTACTGCAGAGATACATATCTATAATCATGGAGCGTCAAGGATGGTACAGCTCATTTGACCCAGAAAAACTGAGGACAGCTGCTTGAACAGGTGTAGAATATTAGTGTAATTGTGCATAGATGTGTTACATTTCTTTAAGTTGCATTTGCTTTACTATGTAAAGATGTGTTGCTGTTTCACCTTGCCTGCCTAAGGCATCTGATTGGTCTCAGAAAGAACTGAATGGCCAATAGCTAGGCAGAGAAAGGATAGGCAGGGCTGGTGAGAAGAGAGAATAAATAGGGTGAGGAATCTAGGCTGGAAGGGAGGAGAGAGAGGAGAAAGAGAAGCCAGGGCCTTGCCAGGGAGGAAGCAGGAAAGTAAGACATACAGAAGGAAAGAAAAGTAAAAAGCCCCAAGTCAAAACATAGGGGAAGAGAAAAATTGTTAAATTAAGTTAGAAAAGCTGGCTAGAAACGGTATTCATAACTAATAAGTCTCCATGTCATGATTTGGAAGCTGGTCGGTGGCCCAAAAAAAGCCTGCTACAGACAGATTATTTTACTGGACTGGAAAATAAACAGCAGATGGCCTAATATATGAACAGAAGGTGCTCCTGGAAACAGCAGGGGCAGTGTGTCATATCTGGAAGTGTGGCAGAGGTCAGGAGAAATCAGCAGTAGTAGCCTGGGTTATGTACCATGTTGGATGGGAAAGGGGGTGTGACTCTTCAACTGTGTGTGTGTGCTTATTACCATTTTATTTTGCAGAAACATCACTTTGGGGACATGGGAAAGATGTGCTCTACTGGGAAAACTGATGGTAGTTAGGTTATAGTAGGCTTTGGTCCCAAAGCATCAGCCATGGTAACTGGGACAGGAGGCCAGATTGGAGGGACGTTCTCCTGGCCTAAATGTAAACCATGAGTGACAGTGAAGTCTACTACTAAATGAGACCAACTTGGAGCAGGAACAGAAACTAGTTCAGAGGGAGGAAGGATAAGGACTTCTGCTTGAAGCCCTTTTGAGACATTCTCATGTGCATAATACCAGATTTAGGGCTCAGGAACCTTGTAGAATTGTCATTGATAAACAGGGATTGATGTCACTGAATGAATGAAGTCATTTTGGAGAAGAAATGGTGAGGGTGTACTGAATACAGAAGTATAGGACAAGAGGAGGCATCAGCTAAAGTGATGGTGGGATATGTGGACTGCTAGAGAAGAGAAGACTCTGGGAAGTAGAGAGGGACAAGAGTACTAAATATGGTGACTCACTCAGCCAACACTTGCAAGCGCTTGCTCTGTGGCAGGCGGGCTCTGACCGCTTTCCACGCATAATTCCATTAATTCGCCTCTGTCACCTCCAGAGAGGAAACAAAAATCTTGGGACCATAAACAACTTACCCCCAAACCATTTAACTAGTGATTAGGGTGGCTAGCATTTGAACCCACCGATCAGGCTGGCTCTAGTTTGAAATAGCTGTCCTGTGAATGGGACCAACACAGGCTGTTCGGGTTGGCAGAAGAGTAATATGAAGGTAAGCCCAGCTATGAATCAAAGGGTAGAAAGAAAAAGTTGAGGAGGCAAGTATTGCCAACTTATCCTCTTAAAGCTGAAATTGCCAGAGAGCAAGGCAAAACCAAAGACAAGACCCACTAAACTCAATTAAAAAACTTTGGAGAGAAGAACAAGCAAAAGTTTTTCTTTTCACTGAGAAGGTAAGTACCCAGACATGCTCACTCTCTGGCCAGTATCCTATCTTCTGGAATAGTTCTTTATCCGTCATTCCACATAGTTAGGTATAACAACCTTCTACTTTGGCCTCAGGACAAGCAAGTATAATCTTAGTCTTGTCCAAACCAGCTTCATATCTGAGACCAATATGAGGCCATTAAGGACTTTTCTAGAAGGGCCTTTAAGAAGCAAATATGTTTCAAGTCTTCAAAAACCATTTTACTACTGAATGGAGACAGTCCTCCTGAGACTATGAATAGCAACCAGAGTGAAGGACAGCTAAGACACAGTGAGCCTGGATGTTCTCTTTAAGAAACCCATACCTAAAGCCAGGTCTACCAGCAGGCCTCCGAGCTATACAAGAGACTATGCATTTCTTAATTAATGCATGGCTAATCCTTAGATTAACTCTGGGAGTTGGTGTTTTACTTTGTCAAATGCAACCTGTAGATTTCTGATGCACCAGTTAGAGGGTGAATGTCTGTTCCCTCAAAGACCTCATGAGCAGTATCTTGCCTGCCCACTAGAGACCAGAATCACAACAGGAGGAGACAAGAATGTGGCAGCATCTTGAATTCTGTCAGGATTTCCACTTACCTAGGTGGTTTCCTAGACAGAGGCCACTGATTTGAACTACCTACTATCTTGGGATACCTACAAGGCTTCATATCACGAACTTTTCTAATGGTAGCAATAATGTGTTTGAGGCTTCTCTAATACCTGCCTCGTCTATGGCTAGATGTCCTTACCCTTTCATGTATCTGGAGGTCCCTACAGGACAGAGATTCTCATGCTCTCCACTGTCAACACACAGAATTCTGGGGCATTTGCCAGGCCTGTTTTTGGGGAATCCTACATGGACCTCACATGGTCAGGGAGTTGACCCTTCTTCATAACTGGAGGTCATGTTGATTCTGCCTTGTGTTTGGTTTCAATGTGAATTAAAGGGCTTCACCAGGGGCTGGAGGGATGGTGCAGCAGTTATGAGACTTGGTCTTGTAGAAGACATGTGCTCAATTCTCAGCACACATGCGGTGGTGGCTCACAGCATCCGTAACTCCAGCTCCTGGGTGTCTGATACCTTCTTCTGAACTCTGGAGCACCAGGCTTAGACATGGACCACATACATACATGCAGACAAATGTCCATACACAAAAATGAAACAAATAAATCTAAAACAAATTGATCAAGTGCTTTAAAAAAGGGCTTTGGGACTAGAAACCCAGTCCTGGCTACAATCCTTAGGCCCCTGTCCTTATGAAACTCCCTTTTTATATCACTGAAGTCACAACACAGCCCCATCTTCTCTCACTGAGATTTCATCAACAGTAACTGTTTTTCACCATCTTTATTTTGTTATTAAATTGATTAATTGGTGTGTGTGTACCTGCACATGTGGAGGTCAGAGGACAACTCTCAAGAGCCTCTTCTCACCTTCTAAGTCCAGATCCTAGGACTCAGGCTCTCAGGCTTGGTGGCATGGGCCTTTCCCTGCTGAGCCATCTCCCTGGGTATCTTAAATCTTATCCATGCCCACAATGCATAAGGAAGGAACTTGTAAGCTCTCGTGTATTCCTATCTGTCTTTCTGACCCAGATAATCCTCTGTCTTTCCCAAAAGACTGTTTTGTATTCCTCAACACAGCAAGAATGTCTCAAGAGAAAGTTCCTTATTGATGCAAATTTGTATATTTCCCTCAAAAACATGAGTCTCCTAAGATAGAAATGCCTGTACTGTTTTTCCTTTTTCTTCTCTACTCTTCTGACATCCACATTTTAGGCAGGTACCAGCAGCTGGAGTTTGCAATTCCTTTTCTCGGTTTTTTCTGTCAAGGCAGAAAGCAGAATCTGAAGCAAGCACTCTTACTGTCATTTGTAAAAGTCAAAATTCACTGTTTATTCCAGCTGTCCTGGCAAGAGAAAAAAAATGGAGGAAATGGAGGGGACTCCAGTGTGTGCACGGTTGGAGAGGCTGGAGAGCCCTGAAGTTTAATGCGTGATGCTCGACCGAGATTCTGCCCGAGGACCAGGCTGTAGGGCACAAGGTCCAGCTACTCAAAGCCATCACACAAAAGCCATCTTACTGTCTGAGTAATTCGGATAAGCTCTGGGCTACCTCCACACTATATAGACACCAAATGGATGCACAGCTTCGGAGTATGTGGGGCAAGGAGAGTAAACCGGAGAAAGAACACAACTAAACTCAGATTTCAACCTGCCCAGATAGTTCTCTCATGGTGAGTTAGGAGGAGATTGACAGCCACCGTGGTATCAACTTTGTTTTTTATTTTCTGTTTTTTTCTTCATGTTTTAAAACAATGTATTTATTTGTTAATTTATTTTGTTGTGTTGCTAGAAATTAAATCCAGGGCCCTATAGATGTTAAGCAAACATTGTGTCAATTGAGCTACGAACTCTGGCCTACAACCATGTCTTTAAACACATGCCTATTTGTATGGTTTCCTTGACTTTATTATTCTCATTTATTCAGATATTAGATAAGTATTGAGTTATCTTAACCTTGTATGTTCTGCAAACTTCATTCTTAACCTTCCTTGAGCCTGGCATTCATTGACCTCATAGTGGAGATCACCGCTAGTGCATATTGACTTATCACTATTTGAGTGGGCATTTTTGAGTCTCTTTTAAAAATATCTCTACCATTTATGGATATTTTATAACCTAGTTTTCTTCTTTTTAAAAAATTTCAATGTACTCACAAGAGAGGGAGACAAATATATCAAACCTCACATGAACAGCATCTGGCTTCCCTTAAACCTCACATGAACAGCATTTGGCTTCCCTCAAACCTCACATGAACACTGTCCAGCTTCCCTCAAACCCCACATCAACACTGTCCAGCTTCCCTCAAACCCCACATGAACACCATCCACAGTCCACATTCCATCAAACCCCACATGAACACCATCCACAGTCCACATTCCATCAAACCCCACATGAACACCATCCACAGTCCACATTCCCTCAAACCCCACATGAACACCACCCACAGTCCACATTCCATCAAACCCCACATGAACACCATCCACAGTCCACATTCCATCAAACCCCACATGAACACCATCCACAGTCCACATTCCATCAAACCCCACATGAACACCATCACCATCCACAGTCCACATTCCATCAAACCCCACATGAACACCATCACCATCCACAGTCCACATTCCCTCAAACCCCACATGAACACCATCACCATCCACAGTCCACATTCCCTCAAACCCCACATGAACACCATCCACAGTCCACATTCCATCAAACCTCACATGAACATCATCCACAGTCCACATTCCATCAAACCCCACATGAACACCATCCACAGTCCACATTCCATCAAACCCCACATGAACACCATCCACAGTCCACATTCCATCAAACCCCACATGAACACCACCCACAGTCCACATTCCATCAAACCCCACATGAACACCATCCACAGTCCACATTCCATCAAACCCCACATGAACACCATCCACAGTCCACATTCCATCAAACCCCACATGAACACCATCACCATCCACAGTCCACATTCCATCAAACCCCACATGAACACCATCACCATCCACAGTCCACATTCCATCAAACCCCACATGAACACCATCACCATCCACAGTCCACATTCCCTCAAACCCCACATGAACACCATCCACAGTCCACATTCCATCAAACCTCACATGAACATCATCCACAGTCCACATTCCATCAAACCCCACATGAACACCATCCACAGTCCACATTCCATCAAACCCCACATGAACACCATCCACAGTCCACATTCCATCAAACCTCACATGAACACCATCCACAGTCCACATTCCATCAAACCCCACATGAACACCATCCACAGTCCACATTCCATCAAACCCCACATGAACACCATCCACAGTCCACATTCCATCAAACCCCACATGAACATCATCCACAGTCCATATTCCATCAAACCCCACATGAACACCATTCACAGTCCACATTCCATCAAACTTCACATGAACACCATCCACAGTCCACATTCCATCAAAACCCACATGAACATCATTTAGCTTCCATCATAATGGAATTTTCACCAATTTGTTTTACTAACATTATGCATAACGTTTTTCTCTAGAGAATTTTAAAGCAAGCCTGAGACATATCATTCTACTACTGCACCAGTCAGAAAGCATCTTTAGTAGACATGACACTTTATGAATGTAGAGTCATAATGCCTTTATCATAGTAATACATTCAAACATTAATTTCTTAAATTAATTAAAAACACAAGCAATTTTAAAACTTCCCTATGGTACTGAAGCATGCAATTTATAGCTTCCATTTCAGCTACAATTCAAACAAAGCCCACAGACTACATTCTATAGCTGGATCTCTCTTCAGACAGTGGAGAAGTGAGAGAACAGCCACACTTGGGTCGTGATTATGCAGGAAGGCTTCAGGGTAGCCTTATTGCTAAAAACATATTTTGGGAGAGCATGTGCAAACCTAGTCAGGTCCCCAAGTATTGAAAAATCCAACCCCTACTGAATCAGCAAAGCAAAATTTGGAGCCATGCATAGAGGCAGCAACTTTACTTCACTTAAATGATTTCCCGTAAACTGGAGGGTTCATATATGTCCCCACACCTCGCTGTCAGCCACACGGTCTTATTTTAGGTATCTGGGGTACCTGATACCTGGGCTGTGGAGTTTTATACTTATGTACAGGGAGCAGCCTGCTAGGGAAATATTGATTGTTCTACAGTGGTTCCGAAATGCTGTGTTTGCAAATGTGGAACACAGCACACGATATGTTTAGTAAGACTGTGAAGTCATCTAAAAATAGAAAGTGAAAACTTTGCAGCAAAATGAAGGCCACATGTGCAGCCTGTTGGCAGGGATAAACCTCCTCACAGACCACCCTACTCTTTCAAGGGCACACGTAAGTGGACAAAATTTGGAGGGTAATATATAACTTACCCCCTCTATTGACAGAATGGTATTTTATTTCTTTAATTTAGGAAATAAAAATATTGGGGAATAACACATTTAAGAAGAGGTGTTCACTCATCACCAGTTGGTCCTTACTCTTCAAAAATAAGCTATCAAAACCATAATGTGATGTCACCGCACATCCATTAGATATATAGAAACTGGACCCTTGTGCACTGTTGATGGTGACATGGGACAGGACAAAATGATGTCAGTTCTTAAAAAAAATGAAAAATACAATTAGGACAAGTTCTGGTAATTCTGCTTCTGAGGCATCTACCCATGAGAAGAGAAAGCAGGACCTCAAGAGGCCCCCGGACGCCATGTTCACAAAAGTATAACTCGTAATAGCCCAATGTGGGAGCAGCCCACTGCAGACAGAGGTGTGGAGATGGCAATGCAGCACACTTGCAACAGTGGAAAACCACGACCCTCAAAGGGAAGGAAGCCGACTCCTCCACATCCCAAGGGCGAAGCTCAAGGTCATTCTCCTAAAAGAAGAAGTCAGTGGCAGCAAGACACAGGCTGAACTATCTCGAATATGTGTGACGTAGCGAGGGTAGAAGACTCAGAAAGTTGACAGGAGAGGTTGAGGGGTGATGGAAATTTTTGTTTACTGGTTATGTTTTTTATTAGCCTACAGAGAGTGAGTTTTCATTGTTGTATTTTCCAAACAAAATTTGTTTTTGTTGTGCCCCCTCTCCCCCATTTCCTTCCTCTCCTCTTCCTTCCCTTGTGCCCTTCCCTCCCCAGGGCCTCCCTTCCTGCAGTAACTCAGTTTTCCAAGACAGGAGCTCTGGAGATGGATGGTGGAGGTTAAGGTTGACTGGCAATGTGAACACACTTAATATTCTTCATCCCTGAGAAATAGTTAAGACTGCAAATTTTATGAGTATTTTACCACAACTGAAAATACCTACAAACACATACTAGATTTTAATTAAGTCCTAAGGACACTGCAACCAATGGGCCACAAATACCAAGGACAGCATCACAAACTCAGAGTTCCAATGGCAGAGCCTGACACTGCTATGTCGGGGACCACTGCTCTATGTTCCTTGTTCACTTGCTGGGTCTGCAGACAACAAAACCTGGTTTTGTTCCCCTGTTCCCAGTTAGACTCCCCCATTCCTGGATCTAAAGCATAAATTGGCAAAGCCACTGAGTTGCTCTAGTTAAGGTGAAAATCACCACTTTATGACCCCTCTTAAGAGCACAAATGCTCCAAAACAGAGACCAAAGGAAGAGAAATCTGAATACATTGTACACTGAAGTATCCAAATATCTACATAGTTAATCAAGAAAAGAGCTTCAACTTTCTCTATGTAAATGCCATTAAAAAGCACATTTAATAGTGTAAATTGTTATATAATTTTAGAATGATAAAAGTATTTTATAAACACACAACTGAATGTCTACTTGTCTAATAACTTGGTGGAAAGTAACAGTGGGAAGCAGGACATGGTGGCACACACCTATAATCCCAACACTCAGGTAACTGAAGCAGGACAATTGTGATTCCAGGCTAGCCTGGGTTATAGAGTGAATCTTTCTTAAACACAAAGAAACCAGAGCCAAAACCAAAATGTGGTGATTAATCTTGATTGTTAACTTGATTAAACTGAGAGATGCCTAAGACATGATTGGTAAAGCACACCTCTGGGGACATCTTTTTCTAGAGAAGACTATCAGGGGAGACTGTTGTGGGGTGGGCAGCAGCATCCCCTAGGTCAAGGATATCCCCTGTGTTAAGTAGCATCCCCCTCCTTTGCTGTACTAGCCCAGAAGACTGTCTCTGGCACTGTTTGGAATCATTCACTATTCTCAACATACAAATCCCCATCGTTATGTGATAAAGGGGGCTACAGGGGAAGGGCATGTTAGCACAGGTAGTCCCTCTTTTCTGCTTCTTGGCTCCCACGAGGCGAGCAGCTTTTCTCTACCACACCCTTCCAGTATGACATTCTCTCTTGCCTTAGTTCTGAAATACTGAAGCTAGCCAGTGCTGGAGGGCAGCCTCTGAAATGAGATCTAAAACATGTCCATTCTCCTGTAAGTTACTTCTGCCAGGTATTTGCTAGACATGAAGTCTAAGCTGTTCTAAAGGCGAAACGTTGCTCACACGTAAAACTAGGGACATAATGGCTGGGTCTGCAGCATTAGGTTTATGTTTAGCAGCCTGATTACAAAGTTACAGGTGCCTTTGAAATCAAATCCCCCTCAGTCTCACAGCAGAATGGAAAAAACTGTAAAATTCATGCAACGTTTTGGCAAAAAGTCAAGACTTCCCTGTAGGAAATGATATAGAAAAGAATGGTTGAAGTGAAGCTTTAGACTCTATACTTAAGCTACATACATCATGATGGGGATTTGTGTGTTGAAAATAATAACTGTTTCCTAACAGACCCAGATTATGGTAGAGATAGTCTTCAGGGCTAGGCCAGCAAAGGAGGGAGAGGGTGCTGCTTAAGGCAGGATTTTTCCGTCTTTGGTCAAGTACTTAAGAAGCATCTGCAAGCTTGCTATCCTCTGTCCCAGAGACTTCAGGGTCTACAGGGGAGACATAATTCGCATTTCTCACAAGGTTCCAGGGGAGGCAGACACTACTTGGAATTTCACTTTCAATCCCACTGTCCTAATGAATGTCATTATGGGATATATGTACTGCAGAGATTTCCTAAAATGTCTCAATTTCTGAAGAAAACAGAAGTAATTTAACATCCACCTAGGAGAGGGAGAACTATATGGTTGTAAAGATTAAAACAGAGCAGCTTATGAAATACACCTATTTTATTAAGTAGATTAAGACACTCGAGCCTAAACGGATGGCTATCCAGGCCTGGGTGAAGTCATGTACACAGCAATGCTCAGAGAGAACCATGGTGCCCACCACTCTAGTAACCCAACCATGTATGACACGATTTCCCATAGGCTCTGCGAAGAAGCTCACCAGCCACGATGCTTGAGAAAGCATGTCAGTACAGCACTCAGTAGGAAATACAATGCTAAATTAATGCCACGTGTAACAAGGACACCACAAGGCTCAGCAGGAGGGCTTTAGGAAAAACAAGACAGACTCAGCTAAGCGTGGACACTAAGACAGCGACTCTCCAGCCAAGACATCTCATGCTGTTTTTCAACTGGGCCTAGAGACAGATCATGAGTTGTTCGAGCTGGCCTTTCATCATTGGATCTTATTTTTCAGATGCTAATTCATTTTATTTTTCTGAGATAACCAGCAAGCATTTATGAATAACAAAGCTCTCCAAATTTCAGTGCATATTTGAGGGACATATGAATCCTGGACAGAAATCATTCTGGAACAAGAAAACAATTCCTGCAATTTCTAAGTTGTGCTACAATGAGGCCAAAAAGGAAGGAACTCTCAGATCATTACACAGTCAAATGTCAATCACTTGAATAAATTGCAAGGGATTCAAATACAGTAATAGTCAATGATACAAAAAAAGGTGCAAAAGTAATATGCCAAATTAAATGTTATGAATCCCTAGAAAGAGATCCTATGCCAATGAAATTTAGAACAGTTTATTTTCCAAATATTACTTTTTGTGCAGGCAGATATAGGCTGTCAATTTGCTGGGATAATATGCTTTCTACACTGAGGGATTAACACAATTGGATATTAACTTAATGTTAATGTTAGCTTAAGATGCTAACACATCTTAGCAATTGCAGACGCCTTATAGGCCTTTAGTGAGATACCTTATGATGCAGGTCAATGCAGGAAAGGTATTCCAGATGATGATGCTTAAGGCAATCTCTCATAAAGTTTAATCCAAATTTATGATGATTCATAGCTTCCTTTCAGAGTTCTAAAAGTTTTGTGTTGCTATAGTTCCAAATTCTGAAAGGTTAGTTCATTGCTAGAGAATGTTCAACATTGTGATACCAGACCTCAGAACTTATCACTAACAAGGAAAGACACAAAGGTATTGTGATGTTTTTCAACTAGACACCAATGTGAAGAATGAACCTCATTCAGTGCCACGGTGTCAGTTTCTGGAGACAGCATTTTGTGTGCAAGAGAGAATTCCATCCACAAGTACTAAAATCTCATGATTGATTTACACATTTGCTCTCAAATGCTGTCATTGGTCAGCCACTCATCTACATATGTGTAAAGGTCAGGAGATGAGCTGGACCACGCAGGGGGCGTCACTGTTCATCACTCACCTAGGTTTTGCCACATGCTAAAAATTTCACAACCCATGGTGACCCGCATATCACCATACCTGAAATGGAAAAAAAAAGAATCAAAACTGATGTATTTCCAGAACAAAGTTCTTGTGTTTCTTTAGCATATAATGTATCCTTCTGAATTAAAGGCAAGACATTTGAATTACAAACATCTACTGACTATGTCTTGGCGACCCTAAGTAAAATAGTCACATACACTCATAACTTTAGGTTTTACTAATAATTTTGAATCCTGAAAACCCCTCAAGAAAAGGTGTTAATATGTCCAAAAATACTGAAATTGCCCTGGAAGCCCTGCTCTCAAGATCGCTTGACCACTTGTCATTTCCAGCTATGGGCATTCTGATCCAGGAGTGATTGGAACGAAGCATCTTCCAAAGGCCACACTTCCCCCATCGGTACTTACTTTTCTAGCACCTTCTTCTTCTTGGAAGGTGTGAACATCTCCAGTTGCAGACACAACTGGTTTATAAAAATGACAGCAAGGTAAAAGTAGGAATCCCAGATCTAAAACAAGAACAAGACGTTTAAATACTAGTGTGCTGGGAACCATCACACGTGAGTTGATGCAATAGCTGACATTTGCTTCAGAAGCAGGAAAGGGATGGAGTGAAGGTGGAGCAGACTCTGTTCCAGTCACTGCTAGCTATGAATGCACAGTGTTTGTGTGGAGTCATTATGCCACAGTTGCTCCTGTTACATAACTCACAATTGACATTTTCTACGATGAAGTCATAAAATTAAAGAAATACTCTCTCTTTAGATACTGCTTAAAATCGGAACCCTGGAGCATGAGGTCTCTGACGTAGCTAAAGGATAGATGCTTTGTTTTACAGACAATACTCTGAGCATCTCCATGCAGTCTTAGGTACTTCATTCCTGTGTGGATCAATTTTCAGAGCTTCTTTTGATGTAGAACTTAAAAAGAAAGGCATCTGTATCTGTATCTCTGGAAATGCTAATTGCTTTAAATTCACATTGTATTTTAAAATTCCCTATCCAGACAAATTTTGACTCACAAATTTTCTTATGCCAAATAAAGAATCAGAAAGACATTAGAATAAAATTTCCAGAAATAAACAGCAAAAACCATGTAGGACATATGGAATGAAACACTGTCTCCAGTGATGTCATGTCAAAGAAAGCTAACTAACTATAAGAAATAGGACAAAGGATATCTGTCATATGTATAGAGCTCTCACAAATAACACAGGGGAGTGACAGAAACCCTAAAACAAAAATAGTCCACTAGAAACAGTTTTAAAGGGGTGTTGGATTACCCTGGCACTGAAGGTAAAGGCCACCTGACATGGGTGCTGGGAATCAAACTTGGTTCAGAGCAGCAAGCACTCTTCACTACTGTAATCTCTCCCGCCCCCTCCACTAATAACATGTATTTGAAGAACTATAGGCACATGGCAATTTTAATTTTGCAAGAATGTACATTTACAGGGTAATTTACAAGGAGAAAGTAGTGAAGGAAAATAAATACCAGAAATAAGATGGCTGAAGATGTAGTTTTTTGTTTTATTTTTATCAAATAGCAAATGACAATGGGTAGACGAAGGCGTTTGCTAAGCCACGCTGACATGTTACCCTGTGTCATGGATATAATGTGTTGACTTTTCATACTCAAGCTCCTACTGTTCTTAGATGTTTTGATTTTTTGTTTGTTTGATCAAGCCAAGGTTTACTTCATGCATGCTAGGCAAGAGTTCTTAAAATTTTTATTGCATTTGTGTTTCCTGTATTTTCTAGTTGTCAAATAATAAGTTCTTATTAAATGTTTAATGTTAAACATGTTATTAAAAAGAAAACAGGAAACAAGGGTAACAAAATAAAACCATTATTGAGAAAGGAAGCCAGAGCAGGCACTTTAGTTTACACACTGTCATTGTGGGTGGGGAGGTAGTCTAGAATAGGGGACATGCAGGAGCATCACCAGTCACATTACTGAGGGACCAAGAATCCTGCCTGAAAGAATCATACTAAGGTTTCATAGTTATCATAAATTCACTCCAAAGATTCAAAGCTAGGGAAACATTAATTTTGTAATTTTTTTTATAAACTCTAAAAAATAAAAATCTAAACCTCTAAAATAAGACTTAAAATGACTTAAAAACATGTATTAAATCATATTTGTTCTACACCGGAACTACACAAAAAAGTACAATAATTAAAATTTATGATAACAGGTATGGCTGATTCCTATCAGGCTGATAAACATTACAATAACTCTAACTTCTTTGCAAATATAATAAAAAGTCTAATATTATACACAATTGGAACTAGTATTCTCCTGAACACAAATGAAATACTCTAAAACACAGTATAGATCTTATAGACTCAGCCAGACAGTCATGGACTGGATACTGACCTTATAATCAAAGTTTTCATTTAAGAAGTTCTTTCGGAGTGCATCTGAGAGGTACAGAACTGTTGTAATGATAACACTAGTGATTAAAAAAAAAAGAACACATTTGAGCTGAAATTTCACATTACTGAAAATCAGTTAGTAGATAAGAATAAAAAGCATATAAAAGAAATGTCCTCTAGTAAGCATGTGGATTCAAAAAGAAATAAACTAAAACACAGAAAAAAAATCTATTAGTTTCTTCATAAAATGACACACAGGAAGATTTACAAATTCAAATAATCCAGACATAAATATATATACTGTTGTTTTATGACACTTTAAAATTAATTTCTAAACAGAGCAAAATGACTTAATGCAAACATAACATTGTGTATTTGATTATCGTGACTGACAGAGAGCCCAAAGATGTAATGGACAGAAGAGGAGACAGAATGTACTGTCTGTCCCTTTATGAGCCGCCGTCGCTCTGTCCTTCCCCATGTAAGGTGTTGGAGGGCACAGAAGGACTATGGAAGCAGAGTCACACAGGAGGCCAGACTAATGCTAAGGGGACAATTCCTGTCCAAGTGTCTAAAACCCTACCTACAGAACAGAGGGTCACAGCAACTCCAAGGAAGAGGCATCTCCCTAGGGCAGAACATGGGGACAGCTCGACGTTCTTAGCTAAGCATGCTGCACCTAAATGCAGCTATATTTATCGTGCTCAGGAGACGAAGAAAGAATTATTTGGTGAGTATTCTTGCCTAGTTCTAAACAGAGTTCTGTAATTCACTCCAAATCTACTCATTTTGATAACTAGGAGAGTATATATTCAAATTTGAAGGTTTTTGCAATTGGTTAACGTTGAGACAAACCACCACTTCAGCTATTATAAATACCAGTGTACAAGTGGTTGATTTCTAAAACTGTTTGGTCTTTTCTTAGATGAATATGTAATGCTGCATTAGGCTGTGATGAGACCCCAGCTCTCATCATGAGACTCAGAATTGAAGAGATAAAGGGCAAAGTAAGATAAAATATACCACCAAACTCACTCCATGGTTATGCTACTGGAAAAATGCAGATCAGAAGAATACTTTTTATTATTAACTAGAATAATATTTATGGTCTCTGAAGGATATGATGCTTCATTACTGCTCTCACCTGGAAAACTCACTCTGCATCTTTCTTGCCACACATGGAGATATTAACAAGGCCAGGGGTTAGATGGTTGAATGTGGACATTGTAAAGAAAAGCAAACCACCATGTGTACCACGAGTACCCAAGGGGCCTTGTTTACACACATGTACACACATTTTTGCACAAGTCATGGTACTTTTCAAAGAGTTTTGCTACCAAAGTTAAGGATAAGATAAACCCGTAAGACAGAATTACTGTGGTTTCCTCAGATCCCTATGGCAGACATCATAAGCCAATTCCACACTAGAGAGACCACAGATGATGGTAGGAGAGAGGTTGTGTGCATAGATACTCCCCAAACAATGAAGATAAATGAAGAAATCACTGAGGTTCCCCGAAAGATTTTACCCCATGAATGTAAATCTTTACTATCAGAAGAGGAATTGCTACCGAGTTAAGCAGTGGCTCTTTACCCATCATGTAGATCACTGGGATTCTAGGTTTAATGAGGGGAGTTTTGGAGGCCTAGAGGGGCAGCTTGGTTGCAGAATGTGCGCTTAGCATTCACAAGGGCCTAGGTTCAATCAATCAGTCAGTCAAACAGGCAAACAAATGAACTCCAAAAATCTAAGCAGCCAAAATGAGTAAAATGTGTACTCTCTGTGTGCACACATCCATTCATCTGTGTATGTGCAGGGGTCAGAGACAGATGTCAGCTGTTTTATCTATCACTTTCATCCTTGAGAGAAGGTCCTTCCCTGAACTTGGAGATTGCTGATTTTTAGCTAGGCTTCTGGTTAGCAAGTTCCAGCCATTGTTTTGTCTCTGTCTTCTCCACATCCCGCAATGGGGTCAAAGGGCTGCATGGCCACCCACATCTCAGGTCCCCATGCTAGTGTAGCAAGTACTGTTATTCACTGAGTCATCTCTCTGCCTGAAATTTTTTATTAATAGATAAGCACAAACTTTGTGTTTGATGTTCAATGGAAAAATCCATAGTCCTGTTATACCTGCGCTTTGACATAGAAATCCACCTTCTGGCCCATGAGTCTAGCTTGGATTATTACTTGTAAGAAAGAGCCTCTACTACTAATTTAGCCTATTTGATATTTTGACAACTGAGCCTAAGGTCCTGGAAGATGCTCACTAACTAAAATTTCCAGTTGGAAAAGCAGTTCTGTAGAATAGAAGAGTTACCAAATTGTTTACATGCTAGGTGCGGCAGTTTGAATGTGATTGGCCCCATAATCCCATAGGCAGTGGCACCATTAGGAGGCGTGGCTTTGTTGGAGTGGGTTTGGGCTTGTTGGTGGAAATGTGTCACTGTGGGGGTGGGCTTTCAGGTTTCCTATGCTCTGGATACTGCCCAGTGTCCTGAGTTGACTTCCTGTTGCTCACAAGATGTAGCACTCTCAGCTCCAGCACCACGTCTGCACGTCTGCCTGCATGCTGCCATGCTCCCTGCCATGATG